GGGGGGGGGGGGGGGGGGGGGGGGGCAAATGGGACTTGGCCCAACATCGCAAGCATGGGCCTCCACACCTGGGGCGGGCGTGGAGGCCCTTGCTTGCGAGGTTGGGCTGGGCCTTGCCCCCCCCCCCCAGTCTATATGTTAAAAACTGCCTTTGTAAAAATACCTGAAAAGATGTGGAACTACTATACAGATATATGGACCCCATGCACAAGACGTAAACTATTACGAAACTGTCCGGCGGATAGCGCCAACCGACATAGTGCAGTTCGATCGTAACGTTTAATATTGCAAATGTAGTCTGCATAATGACAATTTCGCACTGTCTTACAAGCTAGCTATCTATCATAACCGCACGCCGATATTAAGGTTATAAACTAAAATGATAATTGACAATTGCATTCTTCTAGATTGACAGCGTCCTACGGACTCCATCTCTTGAAGATTTCTTAGTTAAACCAAACCTAACCTTGATCTCTATATCCAACAAGAACATTTCTTCAATGTTGCCAGGAGTTCATAAATTGGAATTTACTTCATTAAATCAGCAACAAGTTGAACGATGTATCCAGTGGATTATTGAAAGATCGATCGATACGTCTATAACCGATGCGCAAGGTTTATATTTATGTGCTGTCTTGGGTCATCTTGCCGTCACAACCTCACCTGAAAAGTGGTTAGAATTACCTACGTGTGAAGCAACAGCACAGGCCTGTGACGTTTTACTTCGATGTCTCATAACCTCGTTTAGAAAAAGATTGTTTATTTCTCCAAAGTGTAATTACTTGTTAGAAGCAATTGCACCTGTGTTGGTCTGCAGCAGTAGCTCCCCGGGATGGCTTACGTTTGCTGCAAATTTTCTCCCGTTGTTTGGAATGAAATATATTATGGAAATCAACATTGCTTCATCAAAGTACGAAAAGGACGACTATATGCGATTGTGGCACTTGGTGCTGTCACATGACATTCTAAACATCAGGAATGCCCCCAAAGAAGATAAGCCCTACTACTACCAGTTCCTGAGACGAATTCTAAAGTTTTCCCCAGACGAAGGTGCCCTTTTTAAAATATTTGCAAGTAAAGAAATCAAGCGATTTTTTTATAATCAGCAAGATCAAGAGAAGTTCTGCACTGATTTTTACAAGGAGAATGTCCTGGCTAGCAGCGGCGAAAACGTTGGCATTAGTGAAAAATTACAACAGCTAATTGATCTTCCGAGAAATCTTCGAGTTCAGTTGTCAGGAGCGCTGTACTCATATCTTTTGGAATTTATTAAATCTGTCGAAAAGCCAACCAACACGGACGTAGAAAATTTTATGGATATTCAACTTTCATTAAATAAATTGAACAATGATCAAATTGACACGATCTTAATGTTATTATCCACGTCAGAGACAGTCCAATATCAAGAACTATTTTTAAAGCTTTTGAACGATGAAAGATTTCGTAACCAGTGGCAAAAAGTGAGGCGAACGACGAAAGTCCAGATCTGTATTACATGGGTAAAAACGAGAGCGTGCGTCAAAGAAGAGAGTAACATAAAAGTTGCGAGGTCTTATCAATTTGCGGAAGAACTTATATCTTGCACACTAGTTAATAAAGACCTTTGTAACATGTTGTTGGATTCTGTTCGTGAATGTCTGTTTCAAAACGTGGAAGCCGAAGTTATATGTCAAGAGTTGAAAGATCTCGACAAGTTTCTACAATTTGATGTTCGTGAGAGCTGTATTCATCTTATCGAGGATATACTTGACAAAAGTTTGCACATTGTTAACGACCAAAGACTGCTAAGTCAGTTTTCCCACTCCAGGTGAGGCAATACACCCCTCCCGAAAGTACTAGACCTTGGCTGTATAGGGCCTCGTTTATAGGTGATTGAGATACCGGCTTTTGGGCATTTTATCCAAGTCCTGATTATGTACAGGTCTTTTATATTAACTCATACTACTATATGATTTCGTAAATGTTTCATTTGTATCCAGATATAAAGGGTTCTAAACCTAATATCCCAATAACGAGTATCTATCTGTATTTTCCGGTATAGGGTGTGTATTAAATTTACACTTTACTATATTGGATAAATCGTGTTCCCTGCCTATATGGTGTAGACACACACTTCGACATCGACATGCCGTGCACATGGGTACTGTCTCATGACCGTTTCTGACATTGAACAAGGCATGCATATACATATCTTATATCTTAAATGCTTAATTTTTGTTGCATGCCATATATGGCATGCAACTTTCATATAGCTCTAAATTTCATGTCGTGTTCGGTGAGCGGTGATCGGTGATCGGTGAGCGGTGAGCGTACCAGTCACGTGGCAGATTTGTAAAATACGACAAATACCGAGTTTCCGACGAGCATTTTCATGCCGGGTTTTCGTCGAGGAAACGCAAAGAAAATTTATATATTGATTATTCGCCGAAAATTTACATAATCGAGCGCCTTAGAAAAATAAATCGAGGTAGGTAAAGCTTTACTGTTTTAACTTACCTTATATTTTGTTATTTGTTGTGATTTTGGAGTCGCACTGATTATTTATCAACTATCACGCGTTTATATTTTATATATATCGTGAAAGCCGCGAACGCTATCAAAATACTCGATTTTTATATACTCAAACTGAAACGGGGCCATTGTGCTCGCACTGATTATATTGTGTGCAAAGCTTCAAAACTACAGCACATTTTGTAAATAACATGATATATAAATATCAAACAAAATTTGAATTATAAATATTTTATACGTATACTATTGAAATTTAATACAACGAAATAGCAACCATTGTGAAGTACGCATAAGATTCAACATGACATTCAACATGACATTCGATATAGTGTAAATTAACTCATTTCAATCACTCAAACGTCAAAATGATAAATAATAATAATTTTCAATCTATTATAGTAATTCACCGTTTCCACGGGTTTTTTATACCTTTAAAAAGTTACAATAAAGCTAAATCTAAAGGAAATAACGTTATTTAGTTATAAATTTGTGAAGGAAATCTAACAGTCAATCGCTTTCGATAAAACCTTGACCCACCTTGACCTTGTTAATGTTACTACCGTCGCTTGCAACTAAATATTAACGGTCGCTTATAAAAACATTGCCTATTCGCGTGTTTCTGCTGGGGTTCTACACCGTAGGCTAATTCACGTGAGAATCTTAAGTTTTCTTATTTTGACATAATAGCTATTTTTCAATAAATATATTGATATTAAACTTATTGAATCAATATTTTAAGTTTCACGCCAGTTGTACCAAAGGTTATAAGCGCTATAGGCTATAGCGCATCATAAGTTTCAGATGGCATGCAACATGTACGCACTGCGTACCTATTTTT